CGGCTCCTGAGCGCCGAGCTGGGGCCGCGCCTCCCTCGGCTGCTGGACGACGTAAGCTCCGCCCCTCCGGGCCGCCGGGCGCCCCCCCCCACACACACCGCAGTCCGCCCCATTCCTGCCCGCCCACCCCACCCCACCCCCACCAGGCACCCCGGATCAGCGCCCAGACTGCTGCCCTCACCTAGACTCTCCCGGTTCTTGGTCTGCCCTGACCGCGCCGTCCCACGCAGGCCAGGGACTCGGTCCGCGCCTCGGCGGTGGGGCTTCTCGGGACGCTGGTGCGGCGGGGCCGGGGCGGGCTCCGGGTGGGCCTCCGCGGCCCCCTGAGGAAGCTGGTGCTCCAGAGCCTCGTCCCTTTGCTGTTGCGCCTGCAGGATCCCAGCCGTGACGCTGCTGAGGTCAGCTGCCCCCCAAGACTGCCCCACTGCTGCCCCCATCCAGCCCTACCCATTCCCACCCTGTGTGTCTCCTAAGATTATAGGTCAGGGCTTTGTACAAGGACCTCAGGTGCCAGGGTCGAGGGTTCCCGGGTTCCTGCTCTTTCCTGGACCACCCCAGCTACCTCTTGCCACTCTCTGGACCCTAACCCTGTTCCCTTCCCCTGTCCTAGAGTTCAGAGTGGACCCTGGCCCGCTGTGACCAGGCCTTGCGTTGGGGCCTGCTGGAGGACATGGTCACTGTGGCCCACTACGACAGCCCTGAGGCCCTAAGCCGCATCTGCCACTGCCTGGTCAGTAGGGGAGGACAGTAACAGCAATGGGGTGTGGTCAGCTGCACACTTGGTCCAGTATACACCAGGGCACTCCCGCCAAAACTGAGTCTCCTTGCTTTCCCAGCTAAGGTGATGGCAAATCGAAAACCTCAGGCCCTATGCCTTGCACTGGGGGCTCCCCAGGGGACCCCAGGCCCTGGGCTTGCATCTGCCACCTTCTCTTCACGTGGGATGGGTCCTCCTGTACTGTCATAAACCCATCTGCCCCCAGGTTCAGCGGTACCCAAGTCACATCCCCAGCTTCCTGAGCCAGACCCAGGGCTACCTGCGGAGCCCACAGGACCCCTTGCGCTGGGCAGCTGCTGTGCTCCTAGGTGAGAGGGTCCTGGTGTCTGTCCCTCAAGCTCAGAGCTCTGGGAACTGGACCAGCCCTTCCCCGATGGGGGCCTGGGGCCAGGGCTCACAGGCATGTCTTGGTCCAGGTTTCCTCGTCCATCACACCAGCCCCGGCCGCATCAGCCAGGACCTGCTGGACTCCCTGTTCCAGGGTAAGGACCCAGCTTGCTCACCAGGGTATGGGGTCCTGGAGAGGCTGGGGGCGCTAGGATGAAGTGGATGGGAATGGATTGGGTGGAGGGCCAGGGGCCTGGGGTCCTGAGAGCCCTCCGACCTTGCCTGAGCTGCCCTATCCCTGCAGAGCTGGGGCAGCTGCAGAGTGACCCAGAGCCCGCCGTGGTCGCCGCGGCTCACGTGTCCGCCCAACAGGTGGTGCTGCTGGCCCGCGCACAGGCCCGGCCCCGCTGCCTGCGTCAACTCTGCCCAGGCCTCTGGCACCACACCCGGCCCCTGCCAGTCTATGCCAACAGCCCATTCCAGCCCCGGAGCTTCATAGGCCGCTGGGGCTGCCTGGGACCTGGCTGAGCCTGACCCCAAGCCAGCCCGGAGGGTACCTGGGGTCCGAGTCCAACAGCGCCCTGCTCTGTGGCCAGTCCTGGCAGGGGCAGGTCTGCAGAAGAGGTCCGCTTGAGGGCCGCCCTGGACCTGGTACTGGGCGCACACAAACCCTCCCTCTCTAGGAACGCACGGCACGGCAGCCACGTGGTCTAGGACAGCTGCGCCTTCTGTCCGAGCACCGTCTTGCCCTCGGCCCCCCCTTGCCTCTTGCACCCACGGGTCCGTCTGTCCCCACTTGGGCCTGTTGCTCTCCCAGCTCCCCAGAGTGTGCCCCGTTCCCAGCCTGGATGGCACCTGGCCTCCCGAGCTGGGGTCCGGTGGGGGACACTGTGAAACTGGTCCGACCCTGCGAGCGGGTGCCGTGACAGGCTGCCTGCTTCCTGGGTCCTGGCACACAGCCCGGCTCAGCCTCCCCTGCCTGGCTGGGCCGTCCCCCCACAGCCCGCCGTCCCCCTTCACGCGTCCCACCCCTCAGTGGCCTGTCCCCGCCCCCCACCCCGCCACTCCTGTGCACCGTGTCTTCTCCAGATTTCCCCTGACTCCCCCTCTGGAGGCTTGGGTGAGACGGTGGCTTCAGGTGTGAGGTGCCACCATGTGCATCCACTAGACCGGGCCCTCAGCCGGCTCTCCAGCGCCCTGCTCGGGCTCGAACGAGGATAGCATGGCTGCACCTGCCGGGAGGAAGTCTCTCTGGGCCCTGGTGGGCTTCTCCACCCAGAATGCCTGCCTTGAAATGTTCTCCTGCCTTTCAAGGCCCGCCCCCAAAGCCATCTCCTCAGAGAGGCCTTGGCTCACAGCCTCTTGGAGGGTTGGGACCAGTCCCCCCAGTCTGGGGACCCCTTGGGGTCCTGCCTGCCCGCTGTGGAAAGTGTTTAAAATAAACACAGGTGGATTAAAAGGGTCTGGCGTGTGTCTGGGGACTGGGTCTGGGCCAAGGATGGAGTCCTGATGACCTTGGCCTGGTCCAATATCCGGCTCAGGCTGGGATTATAGGTAAGGAAGAGTGTAGCCAGGTATAAGGGTCAGCCCGCCGGGCGGGGTTAGAGTCAAGCTGCTTCAGTGTCCAGGTTTACGGCCAGGGTCAGGCAGGGCTTTGCCTGAGACAAAGAGAAAGCTCAGGAGCTCAGGCAGGAAGGAGGTGAGGTCTCTCTAGGCCCAAGCAGGGTCAGGCCAAGGGCATGGGTCTGTGTGGAACCAGGGGCATGGTTTGGTGTGTTAGTTTAGACCCTCCAAAGCATATGTCAAAACAAGATTAAGCTACAAGAAGAGGCCCTCTGACTCCCGGAAGGATGGGAGGGGGAAGGAAAGGATTGTTTGGGGTGTTCTGGGAGGCTGTGCTGGCCTGGGGGTTCTCAAGCCGGTCACCCATCCAGGAGGACCACAGCTCCCAGGATGGCGTTGCTGGGCAGAGCTGGGTCTCCCTCTTCAGTTTCCCTCGAGGCAGCTGGTGTGTGCGGGGAGCATCCTCAGAGCCCCTGATTTAATCTGGACCCGAAGCTGGGCCGAGCAGGGGCCTCATGCTCCCCTCAGTGATGGCCCCTGAGGGCAGAAGCAAGCCCGGCCTCCCCACAGCTGCAGCCCAGGAGCCAGAACCTGGGGTGAGTGTTCGCTGCCCACTGCCGTCACCAAGCAGAGCACGGCCGGGCAGTGATACCCTCTCGGAAGGAGGTCCCAGGCTCAGATGAAGGCTCGGGCAGGCAGCACCCGGCCCCTTCTCACCCCACCTCCGTGGTGCCCACACCCCCCTGGTTAGCAGGAGCGCAGGCTGTCTCTTGCACAATGCATCTGCCGGCTCATGGCATGTGTCCACCCCCACCTTGCTATGCCCCCTCCTCCGCAGTACCTGCAAGCCCCCCTGGACTACCTGCCCACCAGGTGTGAGGTTCATCAAAGTCCATGTGGCCTGAAGGCCCAGACTGTGGCTGCACTCTGGGAGAGTGAGTCTTCTCAGGAACTTCTCTGCTGGGCTGCCCCGTCCCATGGCCATGCCTCGGCCCTGTGTGCGGGTGAGTGTGTCCAGCCTGGGGTGGGGGGGCGGTCTGCCAACCTGCTGCTTGGGTTGGACCACACTTGCCGCCCTGGTCTCAGCGCTCTCAGGGCACTGATGGCCTTGGAAGCTGAGGACCAATGGTCCGACCCTGCAACTGGGGCTTGGTGGGGCCACCCAGGACCCGCCTTCTCCCCTGCCTTGAGGGTGATCTCAGGGCCCAGGGGCTCCTGCTTCTCGAACACTTCCTAAGACTGGGGCTATTCCAGTACTGCTTGTTCACCTTGGTTTGCCTTTCAAGTGCCCCCTGATGGGGGTTCCCAAAAGAGGAGCACGGGCCCTAGAGAAGCCAGACAGACCTGAGAGGCATTGAGCTTCTTCCTGCAGTGTGTAGCCTGGATCGGGGACGTTTGGGGTGCAGTCTGCCTTTGTTCTGATATTAATTTCGCTCTTGGGCTGGGATGCTAGATATTCTCCGGGGCTAATGCCCTAGCTCCCGCCGAACCTACTGTCTGTCCTCTTCGGTGGGGCCTGGAGCTGCCTGTCAGTGACGGGACCACCCCTTCCCTCTACCTTCCAGCACGCAGAGGGAGGCTGACTGCAGTTCCCACCAAGGAAAGGCAGATTCCCGGCTGTGCACATTCCTGGAGACACGGCCACGTCAGTCACCACCTGTGCCTCTGCTCGGGGCCGCCTCTGCCGCGGGCGGATGAGGCCCGCTGAACGCCCAGGGATCTGCAGCTCGGGGGCCAGGAGCTCCCACGTCCAGGGACGGACTCTCAGCTTTGAGCAGAGGTGTTCGGACGAGACCTGACTGTTCAGACAAGGTCTCTGGCCTGGGTCACTGCCTGTCCAGGAGCCTCCGTGCAGCCCCAGGAGGACAGGTCTGTGCTTGTCAGCCGCACCTGCTCTGGTCCCCTCTGCAGCCCCAGTTCTCAAGTTCCCCAAGACAGCTGCACACTGTCCTAGGCGAGTTGCTCTGCCTTGTTCTTTCACGGGCCAGCCCGTGGGGGAGGGGCCAGGGGCCCAGCCACACGGCTGGTCTCTCCGGAGTGGCCAGGTCCCAACACAGGGCAGGTCCCCTTAGCCCCATGGCACGACAGCAGCGAGACTACGGAGGGGACACCTGCTCAGCCCCCTCCTGTGCTCCCTCCCCGGATCTGGGGCCCCCCCGGAAACTTGGTGAGCCATCTTTCCTTTGTACATCACATTTATTGACTTTCCCCAACTCCCAGGATGAACTGGCTGCAGGCTGGGTTGGGCTCTCAGCCTCCCAGGGTTGGCAGCCGGGTGGGCTACCTGACCCCCCCCCGCCCCACAGAGCTGCCCAGGCGAGCAGCCTCAGCCCTAACAGCAGTCCTGGCTCAGGCCTAATAGCAGCGCCAGGCAGGCATAGAGTGCACACGTGCGGCCCTGGGCCTGGGGCTCCCAACACACCTGGGGAACGTCCACCTGCACCCCCAGGCCGCACTCCTCCAGCAGGACCCAGGCAGGTGCCTCTGGGTCCCAGCTGCTCCCCAGGAGCTCTTGCGGCAGGGACACATCCCTGCGCTCCTGCCAGGGGGTGCTCTGCTCCAAAACGCTCCCCACCTGCTAGGATGGGGAGGGAGGGTGTCAGTGAGCTACTCTTCCCCCGCCTCCCCCCAGCATCCAGCACCTGCCCACATCACTCCATCCTAGGAGCACCTGGGGCCCCACACCACAGGCCCAGCCCCTTCCCCTGCAAGCTGCAACCCGCGTTCTCTTACCAGCTTGAACTGCCCGGACAGGCCTCCTGTCTCCAGCATCTCCACGAGCAGCTCACGCTGGCTCTCACTCAGCACTGGGGGAAGACTTCAGCTAAGAGGGGGTTCCAGAAGGCCCCGCTGGGACAAGCCCATATCCCTGCCCCTCCCTGCCCCAGCCCAGGAGCTTCTCACCAGCTAGTGCTTCCACCAGGTAGAGGATGGGGCCGGCCAGGTGCACGTCCAGCTCTCCGGAGGTATGCACCAGGCACTCAAGGAGGGCATCCACTGGACCATCCAGGGGGGCCACCGACCCACAGCACATGCCCCGTTCCAGCTGGGGACATGTGGAGGGGCTGGTGAGTCTGAGGGGCCGGACGCAGGCCCCTCCCGTCTGGCCCAGTCCCCTGGGCTACTCACCGCATCCTCCAGGGTCTGCAGGGCTGGCTCTTCCCGAAGCACCTGCACCAGGCCTGCCAACAGCCGCTCACACAGTTCCTTGGACAAGCCCTGCAGGACCTGGGCCTGGGCCCCCACCTCTGCCTGCAGGCCCCGGAAGTCTCCCGTGACTGCCAACCAGTCCTCCACAAACCCGTCTGCGGGGAGAGGGCTGGGACTGACCCTGGAGAACCCTGGTTGGGCAGGGTGGACTCCCAGGGGGCAGAAAGGGGCGCCCGCCCAGGTTCCCAGGGTTGTCAAGAAGGTACTGACCCGACTGTAATTTGAAGCTGCCGGAGCATGATGACTGGCTGCCTGCGCCCCTTGGAAGCTGGTGGCCTGGGTGGGGCAGGGTGACTCAGAGCAGGGAGCAGGCCCCTGGGCCTCACAGTGCATCGCCACCACCCCAACACTGGCAGCCCAGAGCAGGGGTGAGGCTGGGCCAGGCTAGTGTTGGTGTTGCCTCATAGCGCCCGCCACCCCAGCCTGTGCGTGTGTGTGCGTTTACTCTTGCCCCTGGTCCCTGGGAGCCTCCTGGCTGAGCTGGGCTGTGCAGAAGGCCCCAGTCTGGGTGGCAGGTGCACAGGCCTCACCTTCCTTGGGCAGTCTGAAGGTCCTCTGCTTCTTGTGCTTCTTGTCCGGGAAGAGGAGGATATCTGGCAGCCAGGTGGGAGCAGAGATGGGGGGGCAGGTCGGCCAGTGACCCCAGCCTCTCCCTCACCCCCCGCCTGCCCTGCACCATTGGCTCCGTGTGCCCCACCCCCTCACATGCCAGAGCACGGGCTCCTCAGCCGCCCAGGAAGCTGTGCAGCCGAATGCCTGCCTCTGTCATGGGGCTTGGGCCCTAGGAGACGCCCTAATTCCAGCTCACCCCAGTCTGAGTCAATAAGCAGCTGCGCCACCTGGAAGGCAAGGATGCTGCCTGAGGGGATGGTGACTGTCTTCTTCCGGCTCCGGCGGCCCTGGCCTTGGCCCTGAGGGATGGACGTGGGCTCAGGACTGGGCTCTGGGTTGTGGGGTTGGGTAGGCTGGGTGCTGGGGGGGGGTGGGGCTGCCTGGGGGCACCCCCGCCTGCCTTCCTGCCCCCTGCCTGATCCATGGCCCATGCTGCGCACCTGGAAAGATATGGCTCCAAGCAGTGCAAACTGGCCAGAGCCCTCCTGCTTACGGGTCTGGGTGACCTTCACCTCCTTCTGCGTCTGCAGCACCTCCGTCACCACGAACACGTCGTTCCCACAATTCCGCAGCTGCTGTAGGACCTTGTGCTCGGGCTGCCGCAGGTGCCTGTAGCAGGGGGTTGGCCCGGAAGCTGTGGGGGTGTGTCCTGCCCTCCCCAGCCCCGGGCCACGCTGCTGGGGGGCTGACGCGGCCCAGGCACAGGACTCCCATGATCCCCTCCCTGGTGGCTCCCAGTAGTGTTTGTGAGGGGGAGGGACAAGATCCAGGGATGCTAAGTGGACACCTGCAGCCCCCTGGAGACACCCACCCCCTTGGCCGGGTGCTTGTCTAGCTGCTTCTCCCTCCATTCCCTGCCCTCCCTGGATTCAAATTTCAAATCTCCACCCTGAACCAATGAACCTCCTCAGCCGGTCCCTCTGTCTGCTCTGCTCCACCCCAGCCCTCAGGGTGCAGTCCCCTATTACCTCTGCAGCCTCCTTCCCCTCTGCCCGGCTCAGCACCACCCCCCGCCCCCGGCCTCTGTGCTGACCCTTGGTCTGGCACAGACACCCTGTGACTCCTGACACTCTGGGGCTGTGACCCAGCGGCTGCTTGGGGTTGGCAGGGCCCCACCCCCCGGGGGGCTCACCTCTCTTGCTTCATGGCGTCCCAGATGTTGGGGTCCACTTGCAGTGTACGCACATTCATCGAGATGCTGAAGTTATCAAACACCGCCGCCTCGCCTGCAAGCCTCCCCTGTCCTGGGGCTTCCAGCTCCCCGCTGCCTTGCAGCTCCCCGTCCATGGAGTCGTAGATGTGGATGGGCGCGCTTTGTTTCACAGCTAGAGCCAGACCAGAGCTGAGGCCCCATCCTCCCGCCTGCCACCCATCCCACCTGGGCAGAGGGACCTTTAAAAAGGCCCTGTCCTTTGAAACCAGAAGGCCCAGAAGCCCAGAGTAGACAGCAGGCTGGCCAGTTGCCTCACCTCCCAGCAGGCGGGGTACCTGGTTCTGGGGCATCAGGCTCCAGAATGTCCCTGATGGATAGGTTGATGCTCTTGTAGCGGGGTTTCCAAAACCACGATCTCGAGCACCTCCTTCCCAACAAGTAGTAGGGCTGGAAGCTGGTGGAGCTCCGCAGGCTGTCCACGGGGATGAGCTCGCCTCTGTGGTCCAGCTCCCGGACCACACTCTTGATCACGCCCTCAAAGGCAGATGCCATTGCTCCTGAGGAGGACAGATGGGTCAGCCATGTTGCCCTCAGGGCTAAAAGAGGGGGGTTGGGGGCAACAGTTGCTACTTGGATGCCTCCAACGACAGGGAGCTCTTTTCTCCACAGGTCAGTCCTGGGACGCTCTGACAGAAAACTCCTGCTCCTGATCATTACTCAGCACAGAAAGAAACCAAGCGTCTACCCTGTCATGCATTGCAGCATCTCTCCATGGGGCTGGTGAGCACCTCCAGGCTGGGATGGCATTCACACCATCTGTACCATGGCCAGCGTGCCCACAGGAAGCCCAGGAAAGCACTGGGACTCTCAGAGCTGGGGGGGGGGGCAGCCCTCAGCCACCCACAGAAACCTTTGTCACTTTGTCAGCCCAACAAGGCTTAGAGCCACTCCTGAAAAGCAGCCCCCGGGGGAGGGCAGGGCAAGGCAGGGGCCTCAGGGGGGACCCCAGCCCAATGCTCTAGCTGCTGCAGCAGCTGTCTCCCTGGCTGAGGTGTTCAGAGAGCAGGAGAAGCAGCAGGAACCACCAAGCTTCTGGGGACTTGGCAAGGGGCCCCCAGCAAGGTCCAGCCACAGCGTCCCCAGCTTCCAGGTACATCCTCTAGGGCTTTTTCTGTGCCCAGAGTTCCATGAGCCACCAGTCCAAGGCTGAGGCTTCAGGGACCAGAGGCCAAAGCAGGCTTGACCCAGGACATAGGAGGCCTGGGCCCCGGGCACAGGAGGCGGACTTTCCCAGCCATTCTGGTCAGTAGGAAACCTCTGAGCCTCCGTGCTGGTCTGAATTCAGAGGGGGCCAAGGGGTGCCTGGAAGGGCCCCCCCCCCCGGAGTCAAGCCCAAACCCAGATGGGCTTCCCAGAGGCCTCAGGCTTCCCTAAGCTGGTCTGGGATTGCGGGGAATCCTGGGAGGGTGCTGGGACCAGGTGATCCCCCAAAAGGGCCAGCATCGCCCCCACTGAGCATGAGCTCCAACCCCCCCAGGCAGCAGGGAATGGCATCGGGTGCGAGGTGCAGTGCTCACCGTGACTGTCACCGCAGGTTCCTGGCCGACGATGGGAAGCAGGTCCGCCCTGCAGACCTGAGTTGTACTGCTCTGCTGGGGAGCTCTGAGCAAGTGGACAGGGTGGGTGCCCAGACCCAAAAGTGAAACTTTGGTCTAGTGACGCCCGGCAGGCCGGCACTCCCAGAAACGCCCCAGCCAGTGCACCCCGCGGGGCCCCTCTGCCTGCCCAGAGTGGGGCCCACCAGCGGCCCCCGCGCCCACAGCCTCCACCTCCAGCTGGTGGCACTTCCTGTGGTTTCCTGCTTACAACTCAAGCCCCTCAGACATTCCTCCACAGAAAACGTGCAGAAGGTCAGCAAGCACCTCAAGCCGTTCCCGTCGTTAACCAGCTGAGAGCTGCAAGCCCGACCCCGCTGAGGAGCCCCTCCGGGCCCCACAGCCCTCTGCTGTCCCAGATCCCACCAGGCAGGGGGGAGGGCGGGGGAGGGGGCGAGAGACTGGAGCCCCCCCCCCCCCCCGGGGTCCAAAGAGAACCACCCTCAGCCTCACCCCTCCTCTCCTAGCTGGGCTCAAAAGAAATGAAAACATAGGTTCACACCAAAACCTGCCCGTGAAGGCTCACACAGCATTATTCGAAAAAACCAAAATGTAGAAACAACCCGAATGTCCATCAGCTGAGTAAAGGGCACGTGACACCCGTCCTCGGGAAGACCTAGGAGAGCAGGGCCGAAGGCCTGCGCAGGCAGGAAGGACCGCCGTGCTGCGGCGCGCGTGGGCGCCAACGGGCCCCAGAGCCGCAGAGCCACAGACGGAGCGTAGCCGGGCGGCGGCCGGGGCGGCACAGCTAATACGTACGCGGCTTCTTCTGAGGGGACGAAATCCTCTATAACCAGTTGTCGTTTCCTGACTCTGGATGCGCCAAAGCCCGTGGAGTGTCCCACCTTAAGTGGGTGGACGGTGTGGCCTGTGAATTACGTCAATAAAGCCGTCGTTGAGAAAACCTGGAGCCAGGCTTCAACACGCGGGCCCCCCCGCGCCCCTGCCGTCTGGGCTGTGGGGAGTCGCACCCAGCGGGCTCCTTCCGGCCGCCACTTCCGGCCTCGCGCGGATCCCGTGACGCTCGGAGCCTCACCAGAGCCCCGCCGGCGGGCCTCACACTCCCTAAGGCGCTGCCACACTCCTCCGCTCAGCCCCCACGCACAAACCCGGAAGCCATCCCCGGGGGGGGGGGGTCTCTGAGGCCGCTGAGGCGGCTTCTCTCCCCAGGCCACGAGCCTAGGGTGCGGGCCGGAGGGCTCTCTGGGGCGGCGGGCGCACAGTCTGCTTGGCGTGGGGCCCCGTCTGCTGGTGTGAGAAGGGGCCCTTGCCGGCGGGGAGGCTCCAAGAGCCTGAGGAGCTCGGGCTGGGGGGGTGTGTTCGTACGCGTGTGCGTGCGCTCGTGCGTGCGGACACGTTAGTGCGCGTCGTGTGCCGCCGCGTGTCTATGTGTTCGTACGTGTGTGTGCGTGCGCTCGTGCGTGCGGACACGTTAGTGCGCGTCGTGTGCCGCCGCGTGTCTATGTGTTCGTACGTGTGTGCGTGCGCTCGTGCGTGCGGACACGTTAGTGCGCGTCGTGTGCCATCACGTGTTGGGGAGCTGCAAGGCCTAAGCTACGCCCACAGCTGTAGACGCCGGAAGGCTGTCCTCCCCCGGTGCTCTCTCCTGCAGTGCAGCCTCTTTCCCTGTTCCTGCACACAGCCACCCCTGGGGGACTGGGTCTGAGGCAGAGGTGCCAGGCAGGAGCCATCTGTGGGCAGGAGGGGCAGCGCGCCGGCCACGGCAACCACGGATGGTGGCACACGGTGCCCACCTGCCTTTGAGGCTGTTACCTGGGGCTGCCACACCTCAGGCTGGGTGGGGTGGGGCCAGGGCACGGCTGCTGCAATTTCCTGGTCCCATTTTCAGTTCTTCAGCAAAAACCAAAACAGGAGGGACTTGGCAAGTCATTTGCCTATCACCTGGACTCCTGACTCCTGAGAGAGGACAGAGGTCAGCCTGACAGGGCAGGAGTGACCTGCTGGGGAGAAAAGGTGGAAAGAAGGTGGGAGGGGCTGGCCCTGCACCCTATCCCCTCCCTGACTCCCATTGAAGAGGTGAAGGGCGGTCACCAGGACATTTTGAGGGCCAGGAACTCTGGGGCGACATTATGTCCTCCTCGAGCCTGCCGTAGGTTACACTGAGTTAGGTAAGGCCACCCTGGCCAAGGCCCGGGGGTCCACAGCTAGAGAGGACACATGTCTCTGAAGGCAAGCTGTGACCCCAGGCAGAGCCAGGGAAGGCACTTCCATCCGTGCACCTGGAGGGGTCGGCAAGGCCGGCTGCCCCAAGGTGGAGGAAGCTCTGGGCAACCAGGGACTCTGCATCCACCCACCGGGGGTGAGGGGCTGGTGCAGGGCGTGGCAGTGGCAATCCAGCGCAGACCCTGCCCTGGGGGTGCCCAGCCCCTGGCAAAGGGCATCCAGATCCCAGAGATAACCCAGAGAGCTCTGGAGGGAGCGGCCCCATCACGGAGGAGATGGGCGAGTGGCCTGAGGCAGCTGAATTCCAGGCTCAGGGTGGCGCGCCAGGGCAGGTGCCAGGGGCAGCAGTTTCCGCGGGGTCCGTGATGGGGGCCCGTGCAGTGCCCCCCAACACGCCCGCGCGTGAGTGGGAGCCGCCCAGGCCCGCTCCACCCAGTGCCGACCCTTCCAGGGACATTCCCCAGCTTCCCGCGGTGCCGGGAAGTCGGCGCCCACGCCCTCCGCAGGCTCCCTCAGGTGCTGGGCTCCCCTTCCTCCCACCGTTGCCCCTCCCCGCCTGGTGCCTATGTCTCTGTCCCGCCCTCGGGGCCACTGGGAGCCCTTGCTCCGGAAAGAAAAACAGATGCGGTCAGGATTAGAGACACCTGTCCCGGCCCGGCTGCTGCAGGGCCAGAGGGTGCTAAGCACAGGCAGAAGCCCCAGAAGTCCCATCTTTTTTTTTTTTTTTTTTTAAGATTTTATTTATTTATTCATGAGAGACAGAGAGAAAGAGAGAGGCAGAGGGAGAAGCAGGCTCCCAAGGAGCAAGGAGCCCGATGCGGGACTTGATCCCAGGACGCTGGGATCATGACCTGAGCCGAAGGCAGACGCCCAACCATCTGAGCCACCCAGGCGCCCCAGAAGTTCCATCTTTTGGGGACTGAGTCCCCCGCGGGGCATCCCTCCCGCCAGCGCCACGGCCACCCATCAATAGCCCGGACGCTGGGGCGCATCTGCCCAGCACTGCTCAGTCAATGGTGGGCAGATCTCTGGGGGGGGAGGGGTTGGAGGGGATGGGTCAGCCCCAGAGCAGGGCAGTGTCAGTTCAGGGGTGCCCCAGGAGTCAGGAGGGGCGTGGGCGGCAGGAAGGCAGCGGGGCTGCTGCTTCCTTTCAGAGTCCCCTGCCCTGGGACCTGCTGTGATTTCTCTGGTCCCCTGAGCTCTCTGCCTGCTGGGGCAGAGGCCACAGAAGCCCGTCCCACCCCAACGGGGCCTCTGCCCGAGGAAGCGCACCCCTTGCTCTTGCTTCTGGTTTTCCGAGCCTCACTCTGCCCCAGCTGGGAGAAGCGCTCACTGCTGGAGTCTAGGCCTCGCTGGGGCAGGAGGGGAGTAGTTATCGGCTGGACACTAGTACTGAGGTTCGCTCAGTACTAAGCCTGCGGAGGATGGTCTTCGTGAGATTCATCCATCCTGGTCCCTGAGAGCCTTGTGGAAATGCTGCGATTCTGGGAACAGGAGACCAAAACACTTTTCTCCCAGAAGGATCTGGCCCAGAGGGTCTGAGAGTCATGCTTTCCGGTGAGGGTTAGGTGTGGGGTGGATGCTGGGGTGAAACAGGGGTCCATAGGGCCCCTGAGAGCATTTGTCTTCCGCAGTAACGTCCTGCTCCCTTCCCTCTGGGATGAAAGGTGAGGGGGCATCTGTGGGGTAGCGGTCCCAGCCTGCCAACCACCT